GCAGGTGGGGAGGGGCGGGGCCTCCGGGAATCACGGGGCGGGGCCAACGGTGTGCGTCAGGTGCTGGCGACTCAAACATGGCGCCTGCCGGCTGTGTGCGGGGAGGACTCCCCACAGGAGCCATGGCCTCCGCCAGCCCTTCTGCCTGGGAGGAAGCCGCCCCTCCGCCTCTCACCCGGATTCCAGGCAGGTTAGCTCCTCCCCGAGTGTCCCGGGTCCTTTCTGGCTGCTGCCTGGCGCTGGGCTCAGAGGGAGCGTCCGAGTGAGTCCGTGCCGGGCCCTTAAGAGGAGCTGCTGGGGCTCCCGCGGCCTCCGCGCTCCTCAGGGACAGTCCCCGCTGGTTTCACAGCCCGGAGTTGTGGCGAAGTCTCCTCCCGGCTCTGGAGCCCTGGGCTGGGGGCCTGCTGTGGGGCTGGGACCCCTCGCTCCTCCGGGAAACTCCTCCGCCGAGATTCCCTCTCGGGTTTACCCGCGGCACCGGGTGTGGGCCCGCCGCCAGGTCTCCGGGATCCAGCCCCCACCCGCCCGTGCATCTGCCCCTCCTACCTTCTCGGTGCTCCTTCAGCTCCCTGGTTGTAGGGCTTCTGTTCAGCCAGATTTCAGGAGGCTCCGAGTGATGGTGGTTCTGGGTTTTAGCTGTGATTTTGATGTGGTTGCGGGAGGTGGCGGGGGCAGCCGTTACCTGCGCCTCCATCTTGTTTCTCCTCTTTCCTTGCGAACAAATTCATATTCCGTGTGCTTGAGAAGATGTGTATTCTCTCAGTCTTAAATACAGGATTCAGCATACTGTCCATTATGTCAAGCTTGTTAATTGTGTTTGAATCTATGTATTTACTGTTTTCCCACTTACCTGTGGTTTCCTGATAAAGATGCCTTAGTTTTCCACCAAAATGTTGGATTTGTCCATTTCTCCTCATAGTCCTGTGTGGTTTATATTTCTGAAGCTATATTATTAGGTCAATGCAATTTGTAATTTTTGTATCTTCCTCATAAATACTTCTTAACCTATTTATCTCAAATAATATTTTATTGCTGTAATGTGTATTTTGTCTTTTGTTTGGTATATACCTGGTTTAACTTCCTCCTTCCTTTTACTTTAAATCTTCCTGTGTCCCTGTGTTATACAGGTGAGTCTTACAAATAGCAGACAGCTGGGTTTGAAAACATTCAGCCTTCAATATTTGTCTTTTAACTAGTAATAGCTCATTTGTAAATAGTTGTGATTACTAGTATATGTGGATTTCTAATATTTTATCTTCTGCTTGTCCCACTTTTTCTACATTTCATTTTGCATTCTTTTGGGTGGATTTTTCTTTGATTTTTTTTCCTCTGGCAGTTTGTGAATGTGGCAGAGACTATGAGTGCTTTCTAATAACTTCACTCCTCTGTCCTGCCAGCCTTCTCGTTCTGGCCAATGGAATGGGAACAGAAGTGATGTGCTCCACTTTCAGACCTGGTCCATAAAACTCATTTTTTCCCATCCACTGGCTCACTGGCAAGAACTGCAGAATCTAGAGAAGAGCCCCAAGATGAAAGAAGTCCCTAATGACTGAGGGAAGTAGGGAAGTAGAGCACCTCCCCCATCCCAGGCTATGCTCTTCTATATTCTGATGTAAGCAGGAAATAAAATGTGATTATATGGCATCAGTGAGATTTTGTATTTGACCTGTTAGAGAAGCTATCATTATTTACTTTAATACAGAAATTATAGATTGTTTCTATAATTGGTAATTTTTTAGTAGTTATTTTAAAATTTTAACATGCATCCTTATCAAAGTCTAAAGTTTAACATTATCTTGTTGAGGTGAATGCTCTGTTTCTAGCTTATGTGTTATTGTTGTCCAGTATTTTAGTTCTCTGTCAGTTTCTTATTTTAATTTTTTTTTATTTTTAAATTTTTAAATCATTTTTTAAATTTTTCAATTACAGCTGACTCTTTGTCAGTTTTTCAACCTTACAAATTAATCATTGTTATTATTTCTCTATATTTTGGAAAATGTTCGCCTTTTTTCTCTTTGCATAGTGCCTCACCTCTATTCGTCCAATGATCTCTTTCTGGAGCTCCTATTAGATGTATGTTGGACTTTCTCCCACTGTCCTCCATGTCTCTCAATCTCATATTTTCTATACCATGGTTCCTCTGGGCTACATTATTGGTAATTTCTTTAGATTTGTTTCCTTTCCTAGTTTTCTAATTGGCTGTTTAACCCATCCATTGATGCTTTTAATAGTAATGATTTTTTTCATTTCTGAAAGTTCTTTTTGGTTCTTTTTCAAATACTCTGATCAATCTGAGAAGCTCTTCTTCCTTGCTCTTAAACTCAACTACCTCTTTTTGACTTTATATTAAGCACATTTATTTTATATTGTGTACCTGATAATTCTGGTACATTAGGTCTTTATAGGTCTGATTCTGTTACTTGTTGGTTCTGCTAACCCTCTCTTAGGGTGCCTTGTTTCCTTGTGTGTTTTGTGACTTCTTTTTGTGATCTTGTGTTCATTGAAAGTTTATCTGGGAATTCTATGAGGCCTGATAGAGGATCGGTTTCCCCCATAGATTATTTATATTTACTTTTGATAGATTCTGGGGCCAAGAACATTTTATATTAATCTCAGTTTGGATTTTTCAGACTACACAGCTCATGTAAATTTGAACCAAAATCCCACATGAGAGATGGTTTGGGGTTACAGATTCTCAAAAAAGACAGTACTTCCCTCCTATCAGAGACAGGACCTATCTAACTCCGTTCCAGAGGACATAGTCTTTCAACTTTCTATGTATGAAGGTTTCCTTTTCTTTCATGGACCCAAGACTCTGTCTTCACCTGCCTTTAAAACCAAACTCTCTGAATTAACAGTGACAATTGCCTCAAAGTAGTTGTTAGCTTTAACATTTGCTTATCTATCTGAATTCAAGCTTAGACTTAATTTTTGGCCTCTTAAAGATTTCCCTTAATTTCTTTTAAGCTCACCTAGGCATTTAAAGAGGACTGTTAAGATATATTTTATTTTATATTTTAGATGTCTTAGAATATGGTGTGTTTTGTCTGTCTTATTTTATTGTCACATTGCTCCAACTGAAGTCCCCCTTGAGTCTTCAATTTGTGCAGTCAACCTCTCCTCTCCCCACCATTTCTTGCCAAATACCCTTCCTTCAGGCTCCTAGACCACCTAAGTAAAAATATAGGATGTTGTGTAAAGTTGTGTTTTGGGGTTTTTTGTTAATACTCACCTGAGGATATTTTTTCTGTTGCTTTTTAGAGAGAGTAGAAGGGAGGGATGGGAGGAGAAGGAGAGAGACACGTTGATTAGTTGCCTCCCAAACGTGCCCTGACCCGGGCCAGGGATCGAACCTGCAACTAGGGTACATGCCCTTGACCTGGCATTAAAG